AATTTTTAAAATATACAAATGATCCGTGCGTTAACATGCCAAAGTGACTTTGTCATGCAAGGTGAGCGACAAAGCACACAGAAACTTAACCAATATAACACTTTACAAGCTCGCCCTGCTACTTATACGTGCAGGTATGTATAACAAAGTACACAAACACTTTGCACAGCGAAACAAAATTAATTCAGCCAAGGGCAGAAGCGACGACGTTGACGACGCTGTGCTCGGTCTCTTTTCTCTAACGGCAGAATTTTTAAAACAAATGAATTTCTCTCCGGCACTATACGACGTTGGCTCTGGCGTGGGGGGCAATTTCTGCTTTGTCGTCGACGGCAACAACGACGACTAAATCTCGTTCGCGCCTTCCGAAAAAAGCGGGCTCATTTTTCACGCCTATATGTACGTATATACATATAGGTATGCATTGTATAGCATAAATGTATACAGCGCGAGGTGGTGGTGGCGGCGCATGCTAGGAAAATAAGGATACAAGTTTTGCATTATGCATGAAGGAGTTGGCTCGAAAAAAAGGAAAGGGAGCGAGGAAAAAGTGCTCATCGCTCGCTCGCGTATTATACGAGTGCGCCTGTATATAGTATATAGGAGCAAGCGAAGGAGCGAAGAGCGAAGAAGATAGAGAGAGAGAGAGAGAGAGAGCGGCTGGAATGAAAAGTCAATGTTTATATCAGAAGATGGGCGAACGAGCGTGAGCGGTGCGCAGTACATAACCATTAATTTGGCGAGTAAACAAAATCGTTCGTGCGCGCGTAAGCGCCGATAAAGATGGATTTGGCTCGCTTCAAGAATCGAATCTAGAATGTTTTATTATCCATCATTCGATTGGTTCCGACGCCTATCAGCCGGCTGTGAGTCGTGCGGAGCGCTTGATATCGATTCGTTTCTTCACACCAGGTTAAAATTAAACGATAAGCGCGCTCAAATACGCTTCGCGTATCAGCAGGTGTTCGATCGAGCTTCAGCCGAAAAGCTTCTTACATACATACCTAGGTTTTGGTTTTATACCGGCAGCAGTTACAGATAGTACATTCGCATCCGAATATGTTTGTGACGCGCATACACGAGGCCCCGGATTTAAATTATGCCGTACTGCAACAACTAGCCTGCCGTTGATGCGCGAGTCGAATTTAGATTGATGACACAGACTAGCGCCGACAGAGAATCTTTCGGGCTCTCCCGATGTAGCGATCACCAAACATACACTCCGTTCGGGAATGCATAGAAATTGTAAATTTCGGCCGTGCGGACTCGGTTGCGACTATAACTATGGCAACTCGCATCGGGCGAGCTTTGTGTCGACCTGTGTCTGCCTAGTGACAAGTTTTCTCGGTGATTTGTGAGCGCGGTATCGATGCCACACATCGTGAGTAAATAATAGGCTATTTCTGTTCTTTTTTTTTTATTTCGCGAATAAGATTTCAAGTTGCTGGAGAGTTCGACAAAGCTGTAGAGAAAGTTGCAGCAATAGCAGCGAGGCATCTATTCCCACACAGCCGAGTATAGACGCGAAGAACCACCGCAAAATTAAACGCGCGCGCGCGCTCGGGGCTGCGAAAACAAACTCGGCTACGAAAGCCCAAAATATTCGCAGACGCGCCTCTGGACTGCAGCGCAGCTAAGCAGCAGCTTCCGAGGTTTCATTCGGCATGCGTCTGTATCTTCGAGAGCTAGACGCGTTGTGTTGTATGAAGTTGCGAAACCACGCGGACCTAGTCGAAACTTGCGAGAAAGTCGAGAGCCTGCACGCGACACGTTTCCGAATTACACGCGCCCGGTCACGTGCCCATCCGGCCAGGCGCCTCTGTATACATTTCGTAAATGGTGTATATATATGTGTACAATATTACTGGCTATATATCTGCAATTTGAGCATGGAGGTGCGCCCGAACTCTAAGTAGAAATAAGAAGAATAACAGCTCGGCCAAATAGAAACAGGGTCAGAGCTGCTGCTACTGCACATCTCATATTCGTGCCTACTACTTACGTCCGCGTGTGCGCCCGCGCGCGCTACATGCATGCTGCCATGCGAGGGCGTGTTGCCTGCCCCTACAACACAAATCCACCCTGTTCTTTGCATGTGAGCATGTGTGTAGAATGTGTACGTGTATGTGTGTGTGTGTGTTATATTATATAAGAGGAGCAGAGAGAATAAAGTGCCACTTGACTTTCGCGCAACGATATTATACGCCGCTGCTGCATATGTTTAGCGCAAGGGTGTCGAGTAGCCGAAATATAGTCTTGGGTCACGTTCGTATTTATTAAATTATAGTAACGAATAAAAATGTCAGACAGTGCGCAAACAAAGTCGAGATGCGAAATTAAACTTAACAACGTCCAGCGCAAATAGTCTCGTTCAGCGATCAAGCTCAATTTTCCCGTATACAACTTGCATTGCGATGCTTACTTTTTATAAAAAGCTAGCTTAAACTTGAACTTCGCTCCATTTTTTTCTCCATCCCTCTCTCTTTCTCTCGTTTTTCCATTTACATCTCTTTCTGGCCGGCTCTCTTGAAAAAATAAGCAGCAGGCCGTCCGTACCTTATATAAAAGATGTTTGATACAGCCTGTGCACTGTACTGAGACTACTGCTCTTCTTTGGGTAAACATAATAAGACCAGCTCCCACAACAAGGCACTAACAGCAAGTAGTAACAAGTAGCCCTTTCTCCTTCTCTTTCTTTCTCTCTCTCTCTTTCTCTTCCTGTTTTTCCCTATGGTACGCGCGAGCAAAGCAAAGTACATCCCAGCTTGAATTATCGCGATAGTTTCGCGAGCAGCTTCCGCCCTGCCTTGTGCAAGCCTCGCGCGCGTACTCGTATAACAGGCGTTCTCCCGTGGACACGCGTTCAACATTACTTTAGTCGAATTAAAGCTGCACATACATACTCGCAGCAAAAGGATCGTAAGGCAGTAGAATTCGCAGGTACACACTTATTAATAAATACGAATGAAGCTTAATTACTACAATGAGCTGCTGCCAGGCACACACAGGCCTCGGCTATAGGCTCTCTCTCTATTTCTTTCATTACTTTTAATAATTCTATATGCGTATGTTTGACGCGTGGCTTAATTAAGATGTGCCGACTCGGATAACATGGATAATACCCGTTTCTTTTTATTTTCTGCGAGAAAAGAGCTGAAAGAATGACTGGCAGCAGGGTTGGAGGCACACGGCAGGCACGTCTGCGCGCGGGGGTGGCTTATTAAAATTAATTTTCTTTTTAATTCTCGGAGAGCTGTGCGCAGAAAATATGAATTTTTTTTTGCTAAACTTGCAAGCTCCTAGCGTGCGTCTCGCTACAAAAGTCTATAATAGCTCCTATGTGCATTGCACGCTGTACGTGTGTGTGTATACGTGTATGCTAAGCACATGTGTGCGTGGCATGCTAAAAGGGGCTTGATTTATAGGTACGCGATATCCACTGAGAGATTACGTAAACTGGACATCGTTGGACTGCGTCGTTGCGAGGGTAAAATTTATACGCGGTTTTCAGAGCTCTTATATTAAATATTATATGCAACCCCCGCATATATACTTTTTTTCATCCATAAACCAAGACAAAAGGTTCGAATAATGCATTTGCATAATAACACGACTCGAAATGCCCAGTTTTTTTTCTGTTTCGTGAGAGATGAATTCGAGGTATATTGCAGGTACGTAAATGATACGAAATTTTTAACGAATTTCAGGACGAGCCATCAAAATAAAATTTTCAATTTCTTCTATCGCAATGCGCTTAATGCGTAAATTATATCGCGCAATTCAACCAATGGGTCACAGTAATTTATCATATCAGTGATTGATACGACGAGAATTACAATATCCCAAGTCCAGAAGGCACATCTCGTGAATAATATTGTCAATGGGGTGGTACACAGCACGCCCGGGAGTAACGACGCATCAGGCTGCGCGAGTTAAAGCGAGCTGATAGAGGGCACATAACACAACGGCTGATAGATATACAGTAATATTACTGTATAATAGCGAGCTAGAGATGTGGTGGGATTCGTGACTACAGGTTGTTATGTCGGCTGTGTGTCACCTCCGTAACAAAGGAATATGGTACAATGCACTCCGTGTGCATGCGAGAGTCCAAGATATGCTAAGCTTCTGCGGCTGACGCCTTGGATCGCGATAGCATTCAAATGTATTTTATCGCGATAAGACGGGAGGATTTCGCGTTGCATACTTGTTCGAGTCGCACATACACACACCGCACACGCTTACAATATATACAGGTGTTGAATGACCTTTTCTGCGCGTAGAGAGTGCCAGAGAGATGAGACGACGATAGCAAACGCGGCGCACGTAAGCTAGCCCTTGTAATGCTAATGAATTTTGATGTGATGAAATGACTTACTGATAAGACGAACCATACGTACGAGCCACTCACAGTAAGCGTATAATAGCTCGTATTTACGAGCTTGTAAATCCTTCATTGAACATGCTCGGCTTCATGGAGAGTCCTTCAAACATTTTTAACTTTTTCAAACCCCTTTTTTAAATTTTCAAAAGCGCTAATAACTCTCGGCTCTTTTTACATATAACCTATTGTCACCTTTGTAAATATGTTAAAGGCTTTATGGAAAGCTGGACAGTAAAATGAACAAGAAAATAATTTTCACTTCGTAATCAAACTATTGGTCCAAAAGCTCGCGATCGAACTTACTTTCAAAAACCAATTACTTAAAAAAAAAAATCTTGTTAAAATATTTCACGCGGGTAGTGCACACGCACACTCAATTCGCTCGAATACCGGCAGAAAATTCCATATACATACGTTTATATCGATAGCCCGTGCTCTTTCTCTCGAATGCAAGTCACGAACTTGCGCAGAGACAGGTCGCTGCTTGTGGAAGCAAAAAATACTAAACGAAAAGACGAATGATGGCGAAATACAGCAGCAACAGCTGCTGCTACTCTAAATGTATACGTATGTAACGTATGTATGGATAGGACTTGAATTGGTCTAGTTAGCTCACCTGCTCTGGAGATTCAGTAATGAAGGAGTGGCAGTATTGGATGCTGAAATGCGCTCTTGGTTCCCGTGCCAAAAAACTGAACTGGCCGTTACGTGGCTCACAGGTCGCGTATGAGATGCGCCTCAACGCATGGGCCATTTGCACGCACTGAAAATTTAATTAAAAAATTTATGCATTACTGTAAAAAAAATCTTTAAAATAATTAGCATGAACATTTTTAAATAAAGTAACATTATATTTATAAAAATAATTATATGAGTTACTTTACTTCCTAATTCTCGATTTTTTCAAAAAAATACTCGACCAATGTATACTTTTAACTAGAATATATTTTATTTGTTTCGTACAGAAATTATGTTGAAAGGATAAAAAAAAGTAAAACATGACTGGAGTAGATTTCAGCAATTTTTATCAAAAAATATCCAAAATCCATTCGTGTTTAAATGAAAGTTTCCATTCGAAAAATGTGTCCAACAGCAATCTGGTTGAAAATCAACTAGTACCCAACAGAAGCTCATATACTTTCTCTGTGCCCTCTACAGCTGCTGGCTTGTATAACACAATACCGTACGAGAGAGATGGTGGAGCGAAAGCTCTCGAAAGCTAACACGTAAAATCAGCAGGGCTACGCACGCAGTGGGTCTCTCGCTTATCGTAATTTTTCTTCGTCGTTTTATTTATTTTTCAACGTTGCTGTAGGGCTTATCCGCTGGTTTCTGCTCGCTATACGCTTCTACTGTATCTTTCTCGTCGATTTTTACCCACTGGTGTTGCAGCACGTTTTTCATTTATATATTTTTTCATCATGTATGCCGCATAGCGAATGTGTTTCATGCGCGGGGCTTTCCAGTTACAAGAGGAAAAAAGCTTCGACGACGACGACGACGACATATGGCGGTGCAACAAGGACGAAAGCGAATAATAAATAAGAGTAGCCGACGATGGAGCTTCGCGTGATTTTGCAAATCGTTATAAATTATGACTCGTTTGAAAAATTTGTGGTTCACACAATCCGATTTTCGTTCGGAACATTCATTTTGTCGCTTGTAACGTTATAATCTTCATATCTAATCTTTGTTGCCAGTAGCGACGTATGCAAGACTCAACAACCACGAAATATTTTAAATTTAATTTCAAACGACGTTAGCGCGTAGGGAAATTACCAAGGAAACCAGCCATAAACTCGTACAATTTTCATCGCCATAAACCAGTGTTCGTACTTCAGCGAACGAGAAAATAGATGCGGATATATTTTATACATTTATACTGTATTGCATTATGGGCACAACAAGGATGAGTACGCGCGCGCGCGTGTGTGGCGCTGTGTGTTGAGTGCATCATTACGACCAGGAGATTTTTTCTCATACCTGCGAGGAGAGCACGAGGATGCATTTGTTATATTATCTCATTTTTTTTCAACCTTTTTTTTACTTCACAGCGACTCGTTCAATATTATATAAATAATAATGTAGCTAGTCTACGCCATTGCTTCATGATTTTCCAGAGGGTAAAAATGTCTCTTCCATTTCAGCATTTCGCAATGCTTAAATAAAAAATGATCTTCAAAGAAGCGGTACACCCATTAGCCTGGTTAATAATAAATGGATCTTTATTGCAGTGTTTCTAAAATCTTCGAAAAAAAGGCGAAGAATGAAATATTTAAAATACCATTTGACAAAAATTTTCTATATACGTCGCTTGGGTTTGGGACATAATAACGGGATCGCAATAACGACGTACGGGTATTAATCGATAGAATTTCATTAAGAGCCGATATACGATGTACGCATGTGTGTTAGTGTGTGTGTGTGTGTGTATGCGTTCACCCACACATATTTTCATCAATGACACACTGGATGCTTTCAAAATACGCCAAAGTCTTGTGCTCTCGGCCTAGCGGTTGTATACAATGGAAGGAACTGCTGTGCACATCGCCAATCACTGCCGTGCGCCCTACGCAGTGGATTGTAATCCAGCAAGCGCGCTGCTGCCGCCAGCGTGCGTCGAGCTCTCGAGCATCCTGTAAGCACGCAACCCGTTTTACAGCCTGCAAATGTGAAGCGGTACGGCTGCAGGCGAGCCTTTTCACTCTCGATTCTTGCGCAGCAAATTTAATATAACGTGAGTTATACGTTTGTCTAGATATATTTTGCCAATTTTTAGAAACTGTGACGTCGGCAACACGACTTGGCAGCTATTGGATGGGAAACATGACCTATGACTTGAGCTAGACTAGTTAGGCGTCAGGTGATAGTAATGGTCAAACTATTATTTACATCCTTGCAATAGCCATGTGCTCGTTGTTTCGTACTTATGGCGGTTTTTTAAGTTAATATCCAATGCCAGTACTGTATTACGTATTTATGTATACAGTGGTTTCGAGCTTTTTTTAAAATTTTTTGTTTACATTATAACGCATGCTTGTTCAGCTGTATTGTGCATTTACAATTGTTTGCAGGCATTCAAAAATACATTTTTTTCCTAGAGCAATATTTATTTTTCATTCGTGAGGACAAAAATGTAAATAATTATTTACCGATGAATAATTCACACTTCGTAAAAAACACAATAAATTTCAAATAAAATGACCGTGCATAGACGTTTGTTTCGGCAGATATAAGCGTTCAACGATCGATAAACCTGATACAGAGCAAATACAGCCTTCGTAAATCTAGATGATTGGCATTTACTGTTTGTACTGCATTTTCTGAAAACATAAATCACAGACGATGTAGTGGAATAAAATTACAACAATGAAACATCACACTCTGCTTCTTCATCGTCATCTTACTTTTGATTAAATTTTCCATAATAATCAATACCTAAAATCTATCAGATATTTGAATTAAATTAAAAAACTATATTACATCATCAAATATTTTTACAATATTTTTTCAAAACCGTGTTTTGCTTGTGCAATTATTTTTACTTTGTCACTAATGACAAGTGTGCTTTTTCAGATATGAAGGTACACTCGCCATTTAATAGTGAAAGCTTTTTCTGATTTTGATTGAATTTTGATTGCTTTTTTGATCAGTAATGCAAATATTAAATCAATATTAAAACATTAATTTTCAATTAAAAATTAAATGTTTGAATTTCAGTACGAAATTCAATATTTTTGTTTCATTTTCGCTTTAAAAGCATGGGTCTGATTACATTTCATAAATTTATTGAATACATTATGTAAAAAAATAAATCAGCACTGAAACAATCGTTTTCAACGAAGATTTCACTTAAAAGTTCCTAAAATCAAATTTTAGTTAATGTCTGATTAAACATTAGATCTGCATTAAATTTGAAGTTTTTTCAACTGTGTACCTTTACACGAGAACAAAACTCATTCGATAAAAAAAGGCTCGCAGACCAAACTGTGAGAGGATTGTTTTTACGATAAATAAATATTGTCCAATACGCCATAGGTTATACAAAAATTGTTGTTTGCTCGTGAGTGCAGGAAAAATCGGCACGCTTAAGTTTCTTCTCGATAACAAGGAAGTAAAGCGACGCAGTTACCACGACGCAGCTACATATAGAAAATCGCTCGTAACATGCGACGTCGCAAGCCGCGCAAGCAACATCTCTCTGCATGTGCTTTATACGAGGCTAATGCAACGACGCGAAAACATCGACGATACACACAAACGACAATAGAGCTCGTCGCCCAGAAGTCCATCAGCTGATGTATGCGGCCGTTATAGGGGGGGTGTTGCATGTGTATGTCAGTCGAGCGCGGGGAAATTCATGATAGGTCGAGTCGCACATGTATGTGTTGTTACTGCGTTGTTACACTAGCTATTCCTCTATGTGTATGTGTTCGCGTTTCGAGAAGCTGTACGTGCGGAAGATATAAATGATCCCGTGGTCCAACGACCATCAATAACTGGAGTACAGAGAGCTGCTCTGCGCGACGAAGCTCTACTCGGCTTGGCCTGGCTGCATAGTATAGAGCTTGCTACCCTGTGCATGCAGCCCAGCTCTCTCTCACTCCCTCGCAAGTTCTCTTATATACAGGCGAGTAGCACAGTCTACATACGAACACACCCACACCATGTATATGCATTGCGCACGTATACACTACATTTACAGTCCCGAGAGGGATCATGAATCGCGTTCGCGCTCGGGCCACTAACCAAAGCTCATTTCTCTCTCACTACCGAGTGAGAAAGACCCGGGTAGGGGGAGTAGTGAGAGAGAGAGAAACTGCAAAGTACTAAGGCGAATTTCAATTGCTATAGTATTTCTCGCGTTCGTTCGCCTCTTTCTCTCTCGCTCGCTCTCCCTCGAGCGGCCCTGCTGCATATCTATACTCTGCTCGTTGCGCGCACATTGCTCTGTGCGCTGCTACTCAGCGTCGCGCGGCGCTTTATACTGCGTGTGAGCTTGCGCGCGCGTTCTCGCTCGCTCGCTTATAGACGATACTATTTTCGCACCGATGTACAACGTTTTAGCACGAGCTTGTTTCAGCTTAATTGTATTGAGAAGACGTATGCTCGGAACGTATATACGAGCTCGAGGATCGTTCGATACCGATAAAATACGAGTGTTTTTATTTTACCTCCAACCGCAGCTCGCTTAATTAGACTCAACTTGACCGAGAGAGTGATAAGGTCTTTCCATGAAAAACATTGGTATAAAATATATATTTCAACGGTAAATATGTTAGTAAAAATACTCCCAAAGAGCCACACTGACAAACGCTCGTTAATTTGGCATTGGAAAGAAATATCGAGCCATCATAAGAATGTCGGGTAAAGGTAAGATGTGTACCGAAATAAAACAAAAATTATCTAGCCAACTTGCAACTCATGAACTTTCCCCAAGTCCTCGTGAATATTGACTGAAGCTCTTAACTGTCTGGCTCGACAGATGACGACAACCAGACGACCCCGCGTACATTCATACTGAGAAGAAGAAAGAGAAGAAGAGGAGGAAGAAAAATAAAAAGTGGAAGGGAAAGAGAGAGAGAGAGAGAGAGAGAGAGAGAGAAAGTGAGACAGACATATAGGACTCGATGTGCGACCAACTGGAAAATCTTTCAAAATCATTGAGTACGCAGAGAAAATTTTTTTCCTCTGGCAAACGAGGCATGCTCTGACGCGAAATCGAAGCGAAACTCTCTTTCTCTCGTTAAAAACTTTTCGGAT